ACATGGAAATTAAGGTGACTTTTATTAAGTCAAACATTAAAGATTTGAAAGCCAACGTTATTAGCAAAAATTTAAAACAATGCCACTCTCATTTTTTTGTTTTCTAATAGTTATTTAATTTTTTTCATTAAAAATTTATGCTAACATGTGATGCTGTTTTTAAATGAATGAAATTTTTTTTATCAACTTAATGCTAACAAAGTAAATACCAACAGATATAACCCACTTAGACAGAAGCTCTGTGAGATCCTCAATCATTTTTAAGACTCTAAAAGGAGTACTGAGAACCACTTTTCTAGATCTTCCTATATTTATGTTTTGTCAAACAATCACAACTTTTAATTTTCTAACTACTAAAGAGATATGCTGCCCTAAGGATAATTTCAGAAATTTGTCTTGATAAAACCAAAAAAAACTTACAATCTTTAAAAAGAATTGTACCTATTAATTAAAATAATAAATCATTTACTTTATCTTCCCAAAATAAAATCAATTAACAGTGTCAAAACTAAAGTACAGGCTAATAGATCACCTAAGTGTTGGCAAGACTTTGTGATCCTTTGAGTATCGGTAGTACTCTAATTTAAACTCCTACAGCAAAGCCAGGACTCTTTGAAAGGCCTATCCACCAACTATTCTGCTATGGACTATAATCCCAATACCTGAATCCATAGGAAGACTGATTAGTCTTGCTTATAAGCAATTCTTGAACCACAATCTTAACATTTCCAAAATAAAAGTTTTGTATCATCCGAACAATTCAGTATTTCTGTTGCTGCTGGGAAGTACAGAAAAATTAAAACATCAAACTCCCACTTGGATCCAATCTTTATATGTTAGTAAACTATAGTAGCTGTCACAATCCACACAATTATTAGACCCCTTCAGGATGTCCAGTAATGATAGTTTTTGAAAATATATGCTGAAGGAAAACACCTTTGAAAAAAAATTTTGAGACCAGTAGAAACAACAAATAATACATAATTTTGCATTTATGTTCAAATTAAAATTAAGATAAAAAATGCTTTTAAAATAATACTCATATTACAGTTAAGACCCCTAAATCAGTAACTGTCTAATTCAAAAGTTATTTAACCCTGGGTTATTGCAATAGCCAAGAAGGAGGTAACCAAGGACTCTAAGTAGAAAAGCACTCAACAGCTACAAAGAAACAGTGCTCCTCAGGTATTTATAAATTCAACACATGTTTATTAAATTGTCTACTATTTATAAAACCCTGAGCAAGCTATGAGCTTCATAATCTGGTGAGAAGACAATTCCATAGGGCAACCTATACATAAGTAAATGGATAAATTACTCTCAAGAGAATGGGCTCAACAGGCCCTCACAGAATGGAAATAAGTTCTATCTGAGAAGTGCTAGAAGAGAAAGGAAAAGGAAGGAGAGCTGTCTTCTAACAGAAGGGGCCAGGGAACATCCATCCTGGCAAAGAAAGCATCTAATCTGGGTCCTAAACATAGGATAAAAATTTTTTATAATATTTTTATATTAATATTTTATATAATTCTTAAATCATTTTGCATTTTTGCACAATGTTTGCATTATCATTTTGGTTATATTCCCCATACAATTGCACCCCCCCCCTTATTTTGACCCTAGTCCTTCCTCTACCCTCCCCGCCATGTGTCTCTGGTTTATAGTTGCTTGTTGATTTTGACTTTTACTTTGTATTAATTAGTCTTTTGCCTGGACCCTTATTTAGGTTTTCTGAATTCCTGCTATGAGTGAGACCATCCGGTATTCTTCTTTTTCTTTCTGACTTACTTCGCTAAGCATGATCCCTTCTAGCTCCATCCAACATAGGATAAAATTTTAACAATAACCACTGAGAGTGAAAGATAGTCCAGGAAGAGGAAAAAGCATACATTAAAGGAACAGAAAGTACAAAACAGTTTCCAAAGAACTTGAGATATATTCCAGGAGGAGAAGAAAAAACTTGAAAATTAGGTTGAAAGCAAAAATAGAGGAACTTATAGGACAGAGTAGGGGATCTGAGATGGGTGGGGTTTTTTTGTTTTGTTTTTTCCCAATAGGCAAAAGGAAGCCATTGGAAGGTCTTTATGTCACTGGAAGACTTACCATTGGAAGGTAAGTCATCAGAAGATACTTTTTTTTTTTAAGATTTATTTATTTATGCATACAAGAACCAGGGTACAGGCCAGATGTGCAGGAGGGTAAAAGGATTCACCAGAGACAGAGGAGAACAGAACAGACAGACTGACCAAAATACACTGCTGAGGAGAGCAGCAGGCGAGACAGGAGAGGTCTGCTGCACCATGTGGGACCCTTGCCGGCCAGCCAGGATAGAACCGGCACTGCAGAGGCTGCAGACAGCTTCAAAGTGCTGTGCTCAATCGCCTGCACCACCAGGGAAGGCCCAGAAGATACTTAAATAACACTGCGAACTGGACAGAGCAGAACCTGAGGAGAACAGTTACTATGCTTATTACACCAGTTCAGGCAAGAAATAGGAGCTTGATCTGGGATAAGAACTTGGAAAAAGACAGATACAAACATGCTGCAACTTCACTAATAATGCACCTAATTTTTTAATCACACAAAACAAGGTTGGTGCTCATTTTCATTAAAAGCTATTCACTTAGGCAATATTTCAGCATATTCAAATGTACTTCTTTTTAAAAAGTTGTTAGGAATAGGGCCTCCCTGGTGGCACAAGGGGTTAAGTCTCAGCAATATGAAGCTATCAGCAGCCACTAAGGCACAAGTTCGATCCCTGGCCAGGATGCTAATCCATATGGTGCAGCAGTTCTCTCCTGCCTCACCCACTGCTCCCCCTCAGCAGTGTATTTCAGTCAATACGCCTGTTGTGCTTCCCTCTCTGTCTCTGGTGAATCCTTTTACACACACACACACCACCTCTGCCCTACACCCCAGCTCTTGCATGCATGCATAAATAAGTCTTTAAAAAAAAAAGTTGTTAGGTATAACTAACCATGTTCTACATTAAGGCTACAAAATGGGTGACAAGGAACAACACATGTGTATTTTCAATAATTCTGAATAGAATCTCAGTACGCAAAATCTCATCAAGGATGACCATTTTGAACAAAAAAGTTTATATCCAATGGAATACACAAAGTTTGGATCAGAATTTTCCATATAACCTCATAAGACTCATACCACTACATAATTACAATAGTCAACCTTTCTTAAAATCATTTTGGATAACTCAACTCGACTTGGCCAATATTCTACTACTAGGCCTATATTTTCCAATTTTCCAACATTAATGCCTTCTTCATTTTCTCCCCTCCTCCCCACTCATCTCTCCGCCCAACAAATTCCCTTTGTATGTCTGCAAAGCAAGATGCTATATGATATAGTGTGATTCTAAGCAGTTTGAATATATAATTCATATAATAACAAAAATATAGAATTATTAACTTTTTACAGAAAAAGAATCAACGATGCAGTAAATTTCCATTTACATGAGTGACAAATGCATCTAATAGAAATGATGCTTTACCATTAGGAGGAAACAAAGGGGGAAAACACAATAGAAGGGTGGTAAATTTTACAAACTTTGCAAAACACTGAAAAGATGCATCTGGATTGCAGTCACAATTATAAAAGCATGGAGAGAAGGCTCCAAAATGACAGGAAAAGAAAAAATTCTAAGTGATCATTAAGAGCAGCAAAAAGGTTGATTCAATATTAGCATTAGTTTTAAACACAGCATCATTTAATACTCTACAACTAATTTTAAAAAAACAAAGGAAAATTCACTGTTCACAAGGACTCAGGAAATAATTCTATATGCATTCTATAAGACAGTTATACTTCATTACACTTCCACGGGCTCAAATCCTTTCAAACGTTTCCAAAATTACAGTCTTATAATAATGAGGTTCCCCAATGACACGCAATTTATTAACTAAAACACATTTTTAAAACACATAAGGAGTTCATCCTCAACAAAATAAGGAGTCACAAAGGCCTTCTACATATTCAAAATCATTACATAAAGCAATGTTTATAATTGTAGCCAGGGTTTGAAAATCTGACAGCTAATAATCATAAAATGGGGTAGACTTTAAAGAAAAAAAAATCATCCAACTTTTCCATTTTCCCCTTCCTCTTCCTTTCCTACCAGATACACAAAATGTCTGTAAGGGTCTCACACAAAGCTCTAAATTAAAAATACAGTATATGTATACATTATATGTATTCCAGCCTATCATCTACATGTACACATCACATATATTCACACACAAAAAGGCAGGTTTCTCCTTTTTTACTCTTTAAGAACTGAAGTTATATTAAACCTATCCCACACATTAAGTTAAATCACCATAAATTAAAGAGTAATAAAACACGGCACATAGATCTCTGAGCGACTATATTTCTGAGAAGAAAAACCTCTGAATGAGGCCATGACTGACTAAGCAAGCCCAATCCCTGAAAATCACTAACCGGCATTTGGTTTCTGTAAGAAAAAAAGGTGTGTGTGGGGGGGGGGATCTTAAATGAATAATCACATAAGCAACCCAGTTTCAGAAGTTAACGAAGGTTAAAAAAAAAAAAAAACCACGAAGCAAAGGGGACAGATGTTTGAAATGATAAAATTTAAAGAATTCCTCCAAAGGGGAAGACTGACTGGGACATAAAGCATCCTTTGCAGGTAGAATAATCTTTAATTGAAAAAAAGAAAAAGGGGGTGGGGGGAGCTCGACAAAAACCTGAACGACACGCAAAGGCAAAGAAGTAAAAGAAACGGGTCTCTCCTCCCACCCCCACTCCAGCCCCCACCCCCACCCTCGCAGGACAATAGGATCAGGGTCCTAACTGCAAACTTTGAACGCGTAAAACAGCAGCAGTTTTACTGCAGCTCTAACTGCAAATCTGCCTCTCATCCTGAGCCTAACGCACCCAGCATACTTCTGCCCTGAAAACACCACCAACGTCTTGTTAAGCACAAACCAGACCCATCACAAGATTCTTTTTTTTCTCCCAAGTACCTGGAGGATCCATTTCAATATAAAATATCAGTTCTGTCGAATAGGGCATCATCACCTCCCTCCAGTCTGCGTCATCGCGGTCCATACTCCACACCGTATTGTACATCGCGCTGTCAGGGGCAGGTCGTCAGGAGATATATAGAAAGCATATATATTTTTTTTTAATCTGACACTTAAAAATCTAAAAATGTATATCTGCAAAAGTCCCACACGGAAATGTACTTCGGGATCTCCAAAGGCCGGTACCAGTCCAGCCAACTACCAGGACGAGGACCGGGTCCTTTCTACAGCACCCAGCAAAATGCCCCCCCGAACTTTCAATTTATGGGTTTTCCTCCTCAGAGAGGTACAGGGAGGCTTGAGGGGAGGAGGGCTGAGGTGTTAAAAACGAGGCTTCCCAAAAATCCCTTCTACACAGTCGTTGTCCAAAGAGAAAAGCTCCCACCGCCTCCAGATCTTTCCGCGGAAGCCACTTCTGTGTCCTTCGCGTGAGGGAGAATGGAGAAAAAGAAAAGAAAAAAAAAAAAGGGGGGGCCGTTGGGAGAAAGGTGGAGAAGTGACAAAGGCGGGCATAAAAAGGGGGTTGGGTATTGCGTTCAAGTTTCGGGGTCCCACTGGTCTGCAGAGAGCGATCCCCTCAGGGGTCAGGACTTGGGCTCGGCTCCAGTCGGGCTCGGAACCGAGGGCGCTGCAGCCTCCGGAGGGGGCCCGTCGGGGAGTCCAGCAGCTCCGCTCCGCGGGGCGCTCTCGCCGGGCAGCGGCAAGCCCGCCAGAGCCCGCGCCCCTCACGCTCGCTCTGCCCGGACTCCAGCCACTAGAGTTTCATTTTAACGGCGCGGAGGGGGGACACTGTCCCCCTCCCCCACGCTCCCCCGCTGAGGTGCCACCCAGCCGTGCCGGGCAGGGGGGGACAGCCAGCGTCCCCACAGCCCCTTCCACGCCATTCCGCCTCGGCGCACTGGGGATTCGGTTAGATGCCGAAGAAAGCGCTCCGAAAACTGCCCTCCATCTCGGCCTTCCACTCTCTACACCTCTCTCTAGCCCTCGGCTCCGCGCTGACCCCTCAGGCCTCTCCCCCAGCCTCGGGGAGAATGGTACGGCCCGGGCGCTGGCCGCTCGCCAGGAGTCGAAGCCGGGAGCACGCGCGCCAGGCGGGGAGGGAGCGGAGCGCGCGAGGAGAGGGACGCGAGGAAAAGCTGGGCTGTGATTGGCCGATCCCGGTTGCCGGACCCCGGAGCCTGCGTCTTTTGTCTGCCTCGCTCCGGCGGGGGAGCGGGAGACGGCTGCGCGCCCCGGGCGGGCCAATCAGGAGCCACCCGGCGCCGGCCGGTGAGGCGGCGATTGGTCAGAGCCCAGTTACCAAGCGGGACAAAGGCAGAAGGGGGGAAGAAAAGAAAAGGGGGGAAAAAAAATAGAAAGAAAGCGAGCGCAAACGGCGGTTACTGACAGGCTGGGCGAGCGCTCGGGGGCTCAAGCTGCCCGGAGACAGGCGGGGCTCCCGCTGAGGCTCGGCTCGCCCGGACGAGTGAGGAGAGGGGAGGACCGCGGGCGCGAGGCACCTCTGCCCGGAGACGGCCCGGGAGAGGGGCGCCCGAGCGGGGCGCGCGCCGTCACTCGGCGGGACGCGCGTTCTTCTGGTCCTGAGGCGGCCGGGGACGGCCCTCCCCACAGACCGCTTCCCCGTGCCGGGACGGCCCTTCCCTCAAACCACTTCCCCGTGCCGGGACGGCCCTTCCCTCAAACCACTTCCCCGTGCCGGAACGGCCCTTCCCTCAAACCGCTTCCCCGTGCCGGGACGGCCCTCCCCACAGACCCACAGACCGCGCTAAGTTGTCAAATAAAGCAGAGGTCCCGGACCCCGCTTGCAGGACCATTGCAGCTCAGGGAGATGTGCCGTGGCCCTAGCACCCTTTCCGGCCCGTCCGGGAGCGCAGGCTCCACTTTTCTCCTGGAATGGTCATTTCTCGAGGTATTTCGCAGTTCCTTTGCTTTTACCGCCCAAGGACTTTCGAACCCAGAGTAACTCCCCACACTTGAAATACTGAGGTGTCGCTGCGGGTCCCTTGGCTTGAGAACTCAAGGCGGGGGGGGGGGGGGGGCGGGGAGCAGCAGCAACGACTTGCAATTAGCGTGCGTGTGTGATTTCTATAATAAATCACAGGTGCTGGGATCCCTTGCCAAAAGGGCTCTATTCTAACCAACTCGATCCCTTTCCACATGCCCAGCCCTTCGCATGTGGAAAGCTGAAAACTATGATAGGCTTCAGGGTGAAAATGCTGAATATTGCCATGCATTTCAAAAACAGCCAATTAACTTGCTGGAGAACTCTGAATAGGGAAAAGCAGATTTGGTGAATGTAGCGTCTGAAATTTGCCATCCTGCGATACAGTCTGGGGAGGCCAAAAACTGCTCCATTTCCTTTTTACACTAGAGTAACAAAGCCCATTGTGTTTGGGTTGACAACCAGATTTAAGCCCTAGCAAAACCTCCTATACTTAGTGGTTCTGCGATATTGATTGGTGCCTGCAAAGAGTTGCCACGTTTCCTCTCCTAAAGTGCTTCTGCTTTCTTTAAAGGTGCTCTGAGTTGAGACAGGTTAGTTGCAGATAGGTAAAACGTGTATGAACTGTGTATAGAGTCATGGGTTAAAAAAACAACAGTAAGAAAGGGTGGACAAGGTTTAGCCGAGAAAATTCGTGAGGATTATTACATATTTGCTCCCTGACATTTCTGAAACCCAAATGTGATTCAGAAACCATATCAACGGGGCCAGGCACGTTCATTTGAATGTCCCCAACCATTCCTCCATGTAGAATAGAAGATGCCGGAAGAGCAGCTCTAATTATGGCTTGCTTCCCAGCATTCTCTTTACTTCATCATATCTGGGAGCCAGAAGTACTCACATTTGATAACTCAAAAGGCAGGACAATAAGTCAAGGGCAAGTTGGCTTATTTTTGTTCTTAGGTGTCCCCATACATTCCCAAACAAAATGAGGGTGAAGAGAGGAAGTGTGGAAAAGATAATGGCTTTCAGATTTCCACAGCAGCTTTAGCTTGGATCGCTTTTCATTATTTACTGATGGGGTTTCAATCTCTAATACATAGAGCAATCACCCAGGCCTTTCCCACAGCTAAGGCTTCGGGAGATGCAGTGAAGAAGCATCACAGTATATAATCTGCTCAACACTGGCACTCAGCTGTCATTCAACCTTGCTACCTAAAATTGTATGACCCAACATTCCAACTAAAATAAACCTTTGAATAGGACACCTCCAAAAAATAGCACTAATGCAAAAGCAATGATGAATCAAAGAGAAGCACACGTCCTTCTCATGGGCTTGAACCAGGGCCCTGCAAAGATGGGCAGTACCTATCACATGATGTCGGCCTTACTTTCTTTCACTTGAGAAATAGAAGTGAGGTTCTATCTGCTTGTCACCGAACTGCCTCAGGCTCTTTGGCAAAGGCAGAGAATGTTAGCTCTGGTGTCCTGGACCGCTTCCATCCTGGAGGATTATATTTGGCCTCAGTATGGATTAAATTCAGCTCTAAAAGCTCAAACTCCTGGGTTACAACCTGCTACTTCGGGAGCTGCTTTTTTCTCCCTTTGCCTCTTCCCTGCCTTTCTTTAAAGTAGTCTTAGGTAAATCACAAAATCCATCTGCCTCCATTTATATATCTGTGAAATAGGAGCTTGCCTTCAGATTTATGCAAGCTGCTTAATTTATGGTGAAATACTCTGAGAATGAAAAAAAAAATGCCATTTAAGTACTTAGAATTAATAGTACCTTTCCTAGGTCCAAATGGATGGGACGTCCTTCACTTTTCACCCCGTATGGTCTTGGTATAAAACTGTTCAAATATGCTCCATTTCCCCCTTTTCATTTCAGAGATGGATGAAATATTTCTTCTGTGCACTGAATATAGGGTATGATCTCAGAGCTCTCTGTACCAGCAGAATTGGCCTGGAACTCAGCCAAATTCTTTGTGATTAAAGGTGCCATCTGAGCACACAATATAGTTTTTTAAGCCTTGCAAAATGGAAACACACTTTTATTATTTTTTTTAAGGTCACTCACTTAAACACCAGAGCTGATTTTGGCCTTTGGGGAAGGATTATTGGCCTCAATTCCCCTCCCCCCCACGCCCAGTTTTTTTCTTATCATTTTCCCTTGACCACTGTCTTGGGAAAAAGCCAATGCTGTGCGCTAACTAAGCTCACTTAAGTGGAATTCTAAGAAAACTTTACAAATTATCACTTGGAGATTTCAGAAACTCCCTAATCATATGCCTTATAAATTGGGAATGTATCACATTTTGAGGAAAAAGTAGCTTTACAATGTAAATAGAGCAAGGCTGGTAGATATTCTGGAAAGACATCCTACCTGGGAATTCAGTCATCTATTGAGATAGCGATTTCTAAAATCATGATTTTCTATCTTTTTCAGAATGGTATTCCTTTATTAAAAAAAAAAGATTTATTTATGCATACAAGAACTGGGGTACAGGCCAGAGGTGTGGGGGGTGAGAGGACTCACTGGAGACAGAGTAGGGAACAGAACAGGCAGACTCTGAAGTACACTGCTGAGGGGAGCAGCTGGCGAGTCAGGAGAGGTCAGCTGCACCATGAGGGTTGCTCCCTGCCCAGCTGGGGATCGAACTCGAGCTGCAGTGGCTGGGGACAGCTTCATAGGTTGCGGCTTAACCCCTTGTGCCACCAGGCAGACCCAGAATGGTATTCCTTTTACTTGGCATTTGCATTTTTTTTAACCTCTCTTGTACAGCTTTCTTAACATGCTCCCCTCTTTTTCATGTCCAACTTTCTAGCAACACAGGGACCACTTGGATGGACAGAAGTCACTGCTGAAAACTTTCCCTCATCAAGGCTACAGCTTTCAGCTTCACTCACCAGGAGATAGAGAGCAAATGAGATCCAAATGGTAGGAACAATAGTCCTGGGTGTTTCCCAAGGGCAGGGCCAAACAGGCTAGGCAGCTGATAAGCTCTGTAACCTCATTTAGTGTCCATTACCCTGAAAATTGTATTTTTATCCTTATTTTACAGATGAAGAAATTGAAACCCAGAGAAGTGAGAGGACTTATTCAAAGTCATGCAGTAACCTAGGAGCAGAGCCAGAATTAGAGCCCCAACTCCTGACAGCCAGGTCAGTACCTTATCCACCATGCAACACAGTTCCTTCTCCCTCTCATTCACTTAGTGAATGTTTATTGATGTTTTCAAACCCTGGGGATACAAAAATGAATAATACATAATGCCTAACATTGAGCCCAACACCACTGAGGAGGACCCCAAAAAGAAATATTTACAGGAGTGTGATTAATTCTATAATAGAGAGATTGACAAAATGCTGGGTGAGCCCCCAAAACAGTGATGATCTATGGCCATATGTAGGTGAAAAAGTCTCCCTAGATCAGGTGTCATTTGGGCTACCCCAAACTTATATGCAGGTATTTTAAACTTCTTGCTTTCTTCCTTTTACTTCTCGATTTCCCCAGTCCATAAGATTAGCTCCAAGACTGAAAAAATTTAATTGAAAGCTGACCCAAAAATCACATGACCAAAGAGTTTGTCATCATCTTTACTTAGCTGCAACAACCTCTTCATAATATCCCTGCCTTGCCTCCTCTAGTTCATATTCTACACAGTTAGAGGAATGATCTAAGTGAAAAATCTGAACTCCTTTGCATAAACCCACAATAATTCCATTTACCTTCAGGAAAGCTCGGCATTCAAGGCTTCAAGATCTTGTCCCTGCCTACTGCTCCAATCTCTCCTCACATAGTTCTTCCTGTCATTCCTAAGAACTAGCTATACTGAAGGACTGCCATTCTTAGAACAGTAGAAATATTTCTTCCACACCAAGTCCTCCACCACAAAGTGGCAAACTCCCACCTATGTTCTTCTGATCTGGCAAACTGCACTCATTGAGCACCCTGTCCTGGCATCTGCACAGTTCTTTGCACACCATTTTTAAAGTGTGTTTCCGGGTCTATCTCTCCCCTGCCTCCACTTTAGGAGTTTCCTCTTAGGAAACTCTTAGTGGGTGGAAAATGTGTCCTGGAATCATCAGTGCCCAGCATCATTCCTGATGCACAGAGGGCTTGTCAGTGAACGTTCTTTTATGAGTAAGCAAAAGTCACAAAAACAAACTAAACTCCCCAAGAAGGTTCTCAAGCAGAAAAGTTCCAGTGACCCTGATAATCCTTTTTGTAGGCCCTCAGCTGATTCCCATTTGTTTAAAAGAACAACACGAAATCCAACAATTATATAGTTCTTTGGTTACAGGACTCTGAGGGGCAAATGATAACCCTTCTCTCTGCTGTCTGTCTCTTGGGTCCTCACTACAGATACTCAGTTCTGCTGCCTTTTTATTTTATCAGCTGTGAATTATTTGCAAAATTCCAAGCAGCCTGTAGGAAATTCAGGAAAACTCAGCAGCGGAAAGAGAAGCTGGTTTCATTTTCCATCCCAGCTCATTTCTGAAATGTAACACCATATAGGGCTTAGAAGTATTTTCACTTCCTGTGGTCATTATTTCAATAGTTTGGAACAATTTGTAGTTCATGCTTCTTTACTGGAATCTGTAATAATCACCCTTTAATACCACAGGACTCAAATGTAAAAGCTATCTTATTTATTTCATTGTTAAAGAACTAAACCAGTTTGGTTCCTATACTAGACAATTTTGGTTTGAAAATCTTTTTTTTTTTTAAAGATTTATTTATTTATACAAGAACTGGGGTACAGGACAGAGGTGCAGGAGGCTGAGGATTCACCAGAGACAGAACAGGGAGCAGAATAGGCAGACGGACCAAAAACACTGCTGAGGGGAGCAGTGGGCGAGACAGGAGAGGTATCCCGCACCATGTGGGTATCTCCCTGGCCAGCCGGGAATCAAACTGGTGCTACAGAGGCTGGAGACAGCTTCACAGCGCTGCGCTCAACCCACTCCGTCACCAGGGAGGCCCCTAAAAATCTTTTTAAACTAATAGCATTTTATTTGCTTCTATGAACAATAAATCAAAAGCCTCCTTTAGAAATATTTTATAAAGGGCCTCCCCGGTGGCGCAGCGGTTAAGCGCTGGGTTGCAAAGCTGCCGGCAGCCTCTGTAGCGCCGGTTCGATCCCCGGCTGCTCCCCGGCCACTGGAGGAGGGTCCCAGATGGCGCGTAGACCTCTCCTGCCGCCCGCTGCTCCCCTCAGCAGTGTACTTCGGTCCTTCTGCCTGCTCTGCTCCCTGCTCTGGCTCTGGTGAATTCTCTCACCCTCCCGTGCTTCTGACTGTACCCAGTGCATGCATAAACAAACAAACAAATAAATAAATAATGCCTCTATTAAAAAAAAAAATTATAAAATCTATGTATTATACAAAAATGCCTCACCAGACACCAAGAGCATCATTCTTGAAATCTGGGGCAATTATGCAACCTCTAGGGACTAAAGGTCACCGTTTGAGAAAGAAAAGTACAGTGGAATGTAAAAGGTCTGGTCATTTAGCTCTGAGAATATGAAAAACCACACTGACTTTGTTTTAATTCAAGGCTAGAGAGTACCTTATATTCCGTTCATCTTTTCTTTTCTTTTTTTTTTGTGGAACCCTCGCCCGGTGGCTGGGGATCGAATTAGCGCTGCAGAGGCTATGGGCAGCCTCGCAACACAGGGCTCAACTGCTGCACCACCAGGGGAGGCCCTACTCTGTTCATCTTACGCTTCTTGCAAAAGAGACACTCAGTGAAGACCACTATTACTTGCTAAACCTCATTCGGGATCCTATTTCTCCCCTCTCAGTACCAATGTACCAAATTCTAAATTATGTAATATTAAGACTAAGGAAAGACGCCTAAAATACTGAAAACATATATTTAAAAGCAATATACTTTCATATTATAAACAAAAAATGTAAGTGGTTATCATATATATCAAATGTGTAACATGATAATCACACTTATAAGTAGATTTATTAAATGTTTAAGGGAAGAAGAGTTAAGGGAAGAACAGTACAAAATGACAAGCACTTGGGCCTCCCCTGGTGGCACAGTGGTTGAGCGCTGGGCTGTGAGGCTGCCCGCAGCCTCTGCAGCGCCGGTTCATTCCCCGGCTGCTGGCAAGGGTCCCACAAAAAAAAATAATAATAATAAAATAACAAGCACTTTCTGTTCAATTCAACTATGTCCCTTCCATGGGTGAGATCTTGCACTGAGTACTCAGTAAGATACTATTTCTATCCTTGATAAGCCCACCATCCAGTAAAGGAGACTTATGTGAACAAGCAATAACAGTTTCATTGACCATATTTTTATTTTTTTTTTAATTTATCATTTATGCATACAAGAGCTGGGGTACAGGCCAGAGGTGGGAGGGGAGAGGATTCACCAGAGACAGAGTGGGGAACAGAGCAGGGGGATCTGCTGTAATACACTGCTAAGGGGAGCAGGAGGTGAGACAGGGGAGGTCTGCTGCACCATGTGGGTTAGCTCCCTGGCTGCAAATCAGATCAAACTCATGCTGCAGTGCTGTGACTTAACCCTTTGTGCTACCAGGGAGAGGCCTCCCCCCCAACCCCGCACCCGTGTGTTTTTAAACTGAGTTTTAAATTGGTTTCCCTGAGACCATAAGAGCGAGGCAAGATAGCCCCCTTCGTTACCCTCTTCGTCTTTTCTCTCCAGCTGTTTTACTCTGTTTCTTAGCACCTTCCTGGTCTCCTTGACTGCTGATTCTTAACCTCACACTCCTGTGCTTACAGCATTGACTTCTGGCTGTGTCCTCTAGCTACAACTCAAATTTGCCCCTTTTCTTCCTTGTCAGGAGACTAGAGTATATTAGGGTTGGTATTTCTCCTAAAGTCAGTATTCTTGGGTTGGTGTTTCTCCTAAATTCTCCCTGCAAACAATACTGTATGAACAAACTGCTCCCTCTCTGAAATCTCAACTCTCACAGGCAGCTGTCTCTGATCCTTCTCCCAACCTCTTTTTTTTTTTGCAATGAGTTAAATGATGCCCCCCCCCCAAAAAAAAAAAAAAGTTATGTCCAAATCCTAACCCCTTAAAGCTCTGGATGTGATCTTATTTGGAAAAAGAGATCTTTGTAGATATAAATTAAAGATCTTGAGAAGAAATCATCCTGGACTTAGGATAGGCCCTAGATCCAATGACCAATGTCCTTATAAAGAAAGGCAAAGGTAAATTTGAAGCACAGAGCAGAAGAAAGCAACAAGAAAACAGAGGTAGATAGTTGGAAAATGTATCTACAGCTAAAGAATATCAAAAATTGACTAAAACCACCAAAAACTAGGAGAGAAACATAGACTAGATTCTCCCTCAGAACCTCTAGAAAGAACCAATCCTTCCAACACTTTGATTTTGGACTTCTAAAACTGTCAGAGAATAAATCCTAACCACAAGAATAAATTTTTGTTACACATAGTAATTCATTATGATAGCCCTAGGAAATGAATTTATCCACATTAGTTTTTTAAAAAAGACATTTCTATGTCAAGCCATAGAATATAATTGCAAAATAAAAGACCTTCCTTTCCAAGAAATGACTGTAAATCAATTTAACTATGGTGTTCACTAATGAAATTTTGTTAGAGACTAACTTCAATACTAGGAATCATAGGTCTAACCCAAGGTGGACCTTTTTAACCATTTCTTCCCAATACTTTCAATTGCCTCTCCCTCCTGTCCTTCCAAAAAAGTCATCCTGCCAAAGCCAAATCCCACAGTCCTCCTTCTGGTATACTCATGCAGTGGTCTTAAGAAAGGAAAAACCAAGCTTACCAACTTCTTGTAGGCTCGTCTCTGGGATTCCTTTTGTTTCCTGAATGTGCTTCTGCTATCATCTCACACCTTCACCACTCACCTCAAATGATTACCCTCCAACCTCAGATCAGTACATATGACCTCATGTTTTACTTCAGAGACCAACAGACATAACACTTCCACCCCTCTAGAGCCTATAAACTTGTATACAACCTTGATTCCTTGCCTTCCTCTCTGAGAAAGCCTGTCTTTTCCTCCCTTTAAAAGTTAATCACCCTGGGCCTCCCCTGGTGGTGCAGCGGTTGAGCACTGGGATGCGAAGCTGACCACAGCCTCTGCAGCGCCAGTTCGATCCCTGGCCTACAGCGAGGGTCCCACATGG